GCTGGGTCCCATAAATGTGCTGTAAGGAAGGTGGGTACCTGGGCTTTCTCCCAGCCACCCCCGCAGGTGGGACCACAAGAAACACAGGCAGGCAGCATCAGCTCCTGCCTGCCAAGAAGTGCAAAAATTGGTGGTGGGCTTCCAGGGGCTGGATAAATATCTGAAAGACTGAGGGCCTAGACAGTTCTTCCTGAGGACCAGGGGTCCCCCCTTGCTGATCCTGAATGAGTACATTCTCTTGACCCACCTGGGGGCTTCTATACTAACTCTAGTGGGGGGGACTTGTGTGCATCCTGTTCAGGAATGCAGCTGCACACCCTAAAAACTGGCTCTAGACCCCACAGAGGGGATGTCAAGCAGGTAGACTCTGGCACTCTTGTGCTTTTCCAAGGAGAGGTGGCCCCATGACTGCCATTTTCAGTCCATAGCACCACCTAACCATTCTGCCTTTGGGCTCTCCTATGGCCATGAAGGAACTGAGGCCCCAGCTGGAAAAACAAGTTCAACTAAAATTCCTTTGGGAACAAGATGTGACATAACAGACTCTTGAACAGACAGAGGGGCAGGGAAGGACCCGTGAAGGTGCTGGCTCAGGTCTCCTGTGGCAGATGTTCCAGGGGTGCAGCCTGACTCATTTTGCAAGCCTGGGTGCAGGCCCCACCCTGCCCTGAGAGCCAGGCCGGCTCACTGTCCCTGAGCACTGAATGGGAAAGGACATGGCACACGTGGGGAGGGGGGCAGCCTCACCTGGACCTGGCCCTTCCCCATGAGCCTGTCTGTGCTCTCGCCGTCGTCCTTGGCCATCTTCATTTTGTTGTAACACTTTTCATAGCACAGTATCCTCAGGGTCTGGGAGCCTTCCAGCTCTATCTCAAACTCCTGTGGCCCGAGAAAGAAGGGAAGTCTCGGTGAACGAAAAGGTCTCAGTGTGGTACTATGTGCCAAAAGGGCCTCTGAACTGTGGCTTTCCCATGAACTGTGTGCTCACTGCCCCAGAAGGATATGTGCCTGGAGACCCTCCTCACATAGCCCTGGGATCCTTGGGAGCATTCCTTGTGAGCATCACTGTCACAATGCTGTGGCCTGGCCTGGATGCTTCTGGAATTTCTGAATGCCTCTCAAACCTAATCCAAACTCCTTACGCCAGCATCTCAGGATCTTAGGGGTATTTGTTAAAAAAGCAGATAGTCTGTGACTTTGGGTGATAATGATGTGTCAACATGGGTTCATTTTTAGGACAGTGAAACTACATGATACCACACGGTGGATACATGTCATTATACATTTGTCAAAACTCATAAAATTCACACCACCAATCGTGAACCCTAACGTCAGTTATGAACACTGGGTGCTGATGATGTGTCAGTGCAGGTTCATTAACTGTAACAAATGTCCCATCAAGTGTAGGATGTGGATGGGGGGGGAGCAGGAGGTATAGGAAACTCTGTCCTTTCTGCTCAATTTTTCTGTGAACCTAAACCTGCTCTAAAAATTAAATCTATATTAAAGGGGAGAAAAGTGATTCCTGGAGGTGACAGAAGGGAGAGGGGGACTTGGAGGAAGGAATGCTCCCCTGGGCTTCCCTCTGTCTGCTGTGGTGTGTGGTGTTGGCTTTCTCCTCTGTCACCCCTCCCATAACTCCAGTGAACTCTGCATTTCAGACGGATGCATGGAAGGGTTCTTGGTAGGGAAACAGAAGAGGGAAAGGGGGGAAAAAGCAGCTATTTCTGAATCTGAATGGGGGTGGGGCATGCATGCCAGGAACATGTGACCCCCCTGGATGCCCCGCACACAGGTGAGGGCACCTGCTGCTATGGAACCTTCCAAGCCTTCAGGCTTCCTTCCCAGGAGCTTCTGTTGCTGACTCACACCCGAACCTTCTGCAAACTGCCTAAAACACCTCCCTCTCCCCTCTGTGGGGCGCCGCAGCCCTCTTGCTCTCCACAAGGACTTCAGTGGATCCCATGTGGCTGATCCTCCCACATCACAGCTGTCACTGGGCCCTTTCTGCAGGGACGTCCAGAGCTATAATGACCAGGTCATTCGCCGCAGCCCTCTTGCTCTCCACAAGGACTTCAGTGGATCCCATGTGGCTGATCCTCCCTCATCACAGCTGTCACTGGGCCCTTTCTGCAGGGACGTCCAGAGCTATAATGACCAGGTCATTTTATTTGGCTCCCTGTGTCCCCATCCTATTCAGGCAGCAAGTGTAATGAGCAAAGAGTAGAGGTGCTGAGAAAGGAGACCTGGGTCCCAGCCCTACTGCTTGCTCCACTGACCCATGTGACTCGGGTGGACCAAGAAGCCCAGTGGGTCTTGGTTTCCTCCTCAGCAGGGGGGTGGTGGGAGGCAGCTCATTGTGGCCCGGCTGCCCCCACGCACATCATTAAGAACAAGGCCCTTGAGGGCCACAGCTGCTCTAGAAGCTGGGAAATGGCATCTCTCACGGATCTGGAAATTTAATCCATACTGGCCTCTCTGCAATCATTCCCCGCTCCAAAAGGCTCAAGGCCAAACAATTAAGTGACTTACACAACAGCTCTCCAAGGTTGAGGAAAGCAGAGCAAGAAACTACGCTAACACAACACCCAGAGACCATCCAATAGCAGACAGAGGTAGCACAGGCCTGCAGTCACCATCCCAGCCCCCACCAGCAGAGCCCCAGGCTCCCGGAAACCGAGAGGGTCCCAGTGAGCTCACTCCAACTTCTAAGGAAAAACACTATGGAAACCTACCAAGTAAACACTATGTGAGAACAAAGGCAGGACAAAAAGCCCTTTGAAGCTCTCTTTCCAAACACTTCTCCAGCAAAACACTATTTCTCTGTGATGGGGGATGGGTGGGTGGGTAAGATTCTCAGTAACATGGAGATAAAATCTCTTGGATGCGTCACCCCAGCCCCCAGGAGATTCCCAGAATGCTGGTGACATTGCCTTTGTGGGAAGCCCTCAGGGAGCCCCTGGAGGTTTAGACTCTGTGGAAAATGTCCTGCACCAGGCTCCTCACCTCATTCCAGTTCGGCTCTGTCGTGTCCCTGTAGACTCGCGTCTTCGCTTTATTTACAAAGTACCCAAAGGAATCCACCTCCAGGGTGCAGTAAAGATCTGTGGGGAAAGGACACAGAGAAGAAAGTGACTGTGCTTTTTCACCTCATCTGCATTTTCTAGAAGAACAGGTGCTATTTTCAAAATCAGAAAAAAATGGTCTTGGCTGGCCCGGTGGCGCACTGCTACAGTGCGCCGCTTGGGAGCGCAGTGGCGCTCCCGCCGAGGGTTCGGATCCCACATACAGACCGGTTCCCGCTCACTGGCTGAGCGAGGTGTGGGAGCAACACCGAGGGTTGCGATCCCGTTGCTGGTCCCGGTCCGGTACGGGCGCGACACTGAGGGTTGCGATCCATTGCCGGACACGAAAAAAGACAAAAAAAAAAAAAAAGAAAAAAATGGTCTTGGCTGGCCCGGTGGCGCACTGCTACAGCGCGCCGCTTGGGAGCGCAGTGGCGCTCCCGCCGAGGGTTCGGATCCCACATACAGACCGGTTCCCGCTCACTGGCTGAGCGAGGTGTGGGAGCAACACCGAGGGTTGCGATCCCGTTGCTGGTCCCGGTCCGGTACGGGCGCGACACTGAGGGTTGCGATCCATTGCCGGACACGAAAAAAGACAAAAAAAAAAAAAAAGAAAAAAATGGTCTTGGCTGGCCCGGTGGCGCACTGCTACAGCGCGCCGCTTGGGAGCGCAGTGGCGCTCCCGCCGAGGGTTCGGATCCCACATACAGACCGGTTCCCGCTCACTGGCTGAGCGAGGTGTGGGAGCAACACCGAGGGTTGCGATCCCGTTGCTGGTCCCGGTCCGGTACGGGCGCGACACTGAGGGTTGCGATCCATTGCCGGACACGAAAAAAGACAAAAAAAAAAAAAAAAAGGTCTTAATTTTCTTTTTTCAACATAAAACACCAAACCAGTGGCCAGCAAGAACACCAGCATCTCATGCAATAACCCCACTCTGCCCTGTGGAGTTTTCGTGGGTGCAGGCAGCAAACGGGACCTCTCCAAACATTCGCTCACTTGCTTGGCAAACTCTGGCCCCCTGCAGCGAGAAGGGCCCTACATTGGGTGGGATGGACAGAGATGCAAACGTGCCATGACTACACAGGGACAAGCATGAACAGTGATGTCACAACTGAGGCCAGCCATCAGGGGGGTGTGGAGGGAGGGGCCAGGGAAGCACCTACTACCTGCAGACCTGGCTATGAGTCATAGCACAGCTGGAGCAAAGGGGGCCCCGGGCTAGTGCAGGGAAGGTGGTGAGGTGCAGAGAAGTAAGGTGAAGCCTGGGGTTGAGTGGGCCGGACCGTGCAATGTCTGGAGTCTGGCCAGACTGTAAGCGGTAAGCGACAGGGCATATTTTGTGTTTTAGGAAAACCACTGAAGGGGCGATGAGGGAGGCCTGCTGGTGAGGATCAGAGAAGAGGCCACTGCCGAGGGCCTGCATAAAGGCAGCAGAGACGATACAAAGCTCCGCTGCTGGAGAACCACATCTACCTGACAGGGCAAGCCAACAGATGGGGTGGACAGTGGTGCCCCTCACCAGGGCAGAGCATAAAATAAGAGAAACAAATTTGGGGCTGTGGACTTTAGAGTGTAGGATGTGAAGGAGACAGATGGAAAGGAACAGGGGAGGCCAGGAGAGAGACTCTGGGGGACTGAGAGGCCATTCAGGCAGCATCTGCACTGCTGATGGACAGGCCCCAGGAGTGGGAGCAGTGAGGGAGGCCCAGAGGAACCCCAGGAAACACCAACATTTACAGGGCAGCTGGACAGAGGATGCAGGGAAACAACTATGTGTGTGGTACAGCTTTATGAAGGCATAATCTGCATCCCATACAGTTCACCTATTGCAAGTATATCATTTGAGGAGTTTTAGTAAATTTAAACACTAGTGTAAACAGCACCATAATCATTTTAGGACATTGCCCTCACCCAGAGAGTCCCCTTAGGTTCATCTGCAGTCATTCCTGACTCCCATCCTCTGACAACCACTAGTAGGCTTTCCGTCACCAAACTTTGCATTTTCTAGAAATTTCATACGTAGAATGCTATAATACATAGTCTTTCGCATTTGGCTTCTTGTGTTTAGCATTGCATTTTTTAGGTTCATCTGAGCTGTTGCCTCTGTCCGTGGCTCACTGCTTCTGACTGCTGAGTAGTTAGGTCAGTGCATGGGTGTAACGCATTTCGTTGTGATGTACTTCATCTGTACAGGTCTTTATGTGGACATGTTTTCATTTTTCTAAAGTGAATACTTAAGAGTGGGATTGCTGGGTTATAGGATAGGGATATGTTTAACTTCTTAAAAACTGTGAAACTTGGGCTGGCCCGTGGCTCACTTGGGAGAGTGTGGTGCTGATAACACCAAGGCCCCGGGTTCGGATCCCATATAGGGATGGCCAGTTCGCTCACTGGCTGAGCATGGTGCTGACAACACCAAGTCAAGGGTTAAGATCCCCTTATCTTTTAAAAAAACAAAAAAAACAAAAAAAACTGTGAAACTGTTTTCCAAAGTGGTTGCAGCATGTTACATCTGCACCAGCGGTGTGTGAGGTTCCAATTTCTTCACATCCTCACCCACATGTGTTAGTGTTCATTGAAAAAATTTTTAGCATCCTTGTGGTTATGATGTGTTATCTCACTGTGGTTTTAATTTGCGTTTTCCTAAGATAATGAGCATCTTTTCATGTGATCATTAGCTACTCATATTTCTTTGGTGAAGTGTCTATCCTAATCTTTTGTCCATTTTAAATTTTATTACTTTTATTGAAACGTAATTGATTGTATATATCTGTGGGGTACAGTGCTGAATATCTTTTTTAAAAAAATTTTATTTTATTTTATTTTATTTATTATTTTTTTTTCCTTTTGTCTTTTTTCATGTCTGGCAACGGACTGCAACCCTCAGTGTCGCGCCCGTACCAGACTGGGACCGGCAACAGGATCGCAACCCTCGGT